GTTGCCAGACAAGCTCTAAATTAGCCAATTTGGCGGAAAGTGATGCCACCAACAGCATCACTGCTCTGAACGGTCCCTCTATACACAGCGAAAAACCTCCACTCCCACAAAACCTACACCCGGAAGCCTAGCTCCTTCCAAAACAGTGGAACAGTTCCAGCGAGCCAAGGGCACGGTGACAACAAACTAAACAGATAATAATGAACGCATTTCCGTTTCCCAGGCAAAGAGACGCGCGTTCTCTAAGGTCAGTGACCCTGAACCACATTGATGTGTCAGTGTCTTCCATGAATCACAGCGACCTCAGAATAGAGACTGGAAGGAAAGCAGGATCCACGTGACAACAGGTTTGATGAACCTCTATGGGGGGAGGAGTTTCGAAGGAAATAGTGGACGCTATGGCGGAAACATTCCACGACCGGTGTTTTCCGGTTTTAGTCGGGCGAAAGTATTCAACCGCCGGTGTTTTGCCGTTTTAACCGCTTTTGTATTTTAGTCAAAGGCGGATGTTTATCGGTGTTTTTCGGTTAAAACCGGAAAGTGCACAGCCTAGATTCGCTATGATTCTTCGTGCTTGGTTACGAAACACTTTGAGTGGTTACACGTAACACGGCACACTCATGCACTCCCCTGATTGTTAAATTTATTCACGGCCCGTGACCTCAGATCTCCGCTGGAGATACGCTTTGCCATTCGAAATACAGCTACGCGCGCCGACAGTTTGCTACTACCACAGGCTTCCTGGAGTCATGCTTAGTCCAGTTTCTTGCTCTTCCGCCCTCCTCCTCTTAGCTGCGCCCAGACAAGGCGTCGGGATGTGGATTGCCTTGTCCTAAATGCGATTCCAGGTGCGCTGGACGGTAAATCTCGCTAATGATGATTAATGGGGTATTCCGCCCGTTTTTCGAGCTACCCAAACAAATTGGATTTTCTGAATACTCGGGCGTTTTTTCTTCACGGTATGTTATTTATTGTCTCGAAATAAAAAATAGCTATTGAGAAAACTGTACATGAAGATGATCCCGAAACCACGGTTCAACTTTCCGCGTGCTCTCCAGTTTTGTGATGTCACCAATTGTATAGACTTTCAGGTCGCGTAGGTAGTCTTAAACGGGGTATGTCGAGCGTCTTCTTCCCGCTTCTCAGTCAATGAACTTTCAAGCACTTTTTTTTCCCTCCACCAAACGCCATACAATCAGTTGGTAACATGGCCTACTGCCCACTTTTTACCATTTCTGTCGTCACATATCAAGGTTGCCAGTAGGGGCACTCGGTTGAGAAACACGATGAAAACGAAATTCGAAAATTCAATAACTTCGCAATTTGTTGCTCCTTTTTTTTCTGGGTACATGGACACGAATACCTCGAAGGTAATGACGCGGCAGATTCCACTGCCCGGGTACATACACACCGCGCGCAAGGGGGAACAACCTCTTCTTTTGTCCCCACGACATGCGTGCTCATCAAGCATGCCGGCTTACTAGCCCACTGCCGTCACGACCGAAGGAAATACTCGGCATCACACCCAAGACTATCAAGAGATGAAGCCACCACCCTCCGAAGACTGCAGACCAACACATATCCCCACAGCACCCTTCTTCACGCCATCTAGCCCGCTCAATACCCCAGTAGTTGTAAGGTTGTTGTCCCGGACCTCGGTGGGAACCCTGGAGGTGTCTACCGTCGAGGGCCGGGGGACCGTGGAACGATGCTGGTTGCTGGAGAGCTGGCTGTAGGCGGGGAGGACTCGGGACAGGGACGACCAAGACTGCTTAGTGTTCGATTAAAACACAAAACTTTACTTGAACTTTTCCGGAGTGCACGATACAATCAAACTGGGAATAACTGGCCTCACAGGCTTACGATCGCGAGACACGAAGTTAAGTGTCCTAGCGCGCAGTGAGGGCGATGGCTAAGTAGCCGGCGAACAAGGGCTGCCGCGTGCGGCAGGTAACGTGGCGAACCGCGAGAGGAGAACAGCCAGGGGCTCGCAAGCCCGTTCCAACTCGAGGCTCACACGCTCGGTCAGGGCTTAAGACAGTGCGCCGGAAACCGCTCTGTCCAATGAGGGCTTCTTCTGCATCCCATTGGGTCGAGGCCCCGACGCACTCTCGACCTATCGCACGAGAGTTCGTTGCTGTTGCCGAGGTGGTCATTAAGATCGGGCCCTGCGGTTGAGAGTCTAAACCCCGGTATGTTTATGTTCCGAGGAAGATCTACTATTTCTCGGTTTAGGCGAGAATCGTCGAAACGTGCCCCGCCAGCAAACGTCCTTTCCCCCGGAGCGCGGGCAGGAGCCTCAGCGTAAACGGCAAGCGCGCCTGGGAAGCCGTCTCGAGGAGATTCCCACGATGCCGGGTCCACGCCGGCGTGTATACACCAGTTGCGCCCGGTGCCTCTCGAGTCGAAGTCACGAAACCCTGGAACATGACCCGAAGTCTTCGAGGAAGTCGTTCGAGCTTGAGACGTGGCCCAGTTTACGAAATGGCGCGCCAGCCGATGATAGCCGCACTCCGGTGCCTGCCCCGAACGCCCGCGTAGATTTGTGTGTCTGGAGCCCCGGGTAAGAGGCAAGGCCCGCGGGCAACGACCCCCCGTGGGGGATATACAACTCCGTTCGTAGTAGACGGGACAAAGTAAGACACATGCAAGCGCTAAAGCAAAACGAATGACCGAGGCTCAGCGCAACATACCGATAAGCTAAAACTAAACGCCGTCTTGGTGGCGCGCGAAATTTGCCACCGCCTCTACACCCCGCCAATTCTAATTTTTATCCTCCCGGCAACCTATACCATCGGGTATGAGAATGCCAACAAACCCTAGACATCACTCCCATTCCCACCCCATCCTACGAGCGGTGGATGGCCTGCCTAACCAGCCCGGACCTTGGGATCAAGCAAGACCATGTGATGAGGGCCCGAATAGCCAGCCGCAGCCATGGTATGCCGGACTAAGGATGCCCTCCACCAGGCGGGTGCCCTAACATCTGCACCGGATGCTCGCTATAGCCGATAGATGTCACCAGTGCGTTCCGTCGTCAAAAGGGAGGTTTTAAGGCGCACGGTCGCAAGCAGTCGTAACTATGATGACTATCCTTAAGAGAGTTGAAACATTGAAACTTTGTTTAATTTTCATCCTGCTCGATGGACTAGAGCTTCTTAATGCAGCTTAAAGAGCCCTCGGTGCCCACACAAGGCAAACAACAACACATAATAAAACAATATAATAAATAATAAGATGACAACGCTATGTTTTACCGACGGTGTGCCCTTTTATACATTGTTAAGTGTAAGAATTTTGTTTACTGAAGTGACACCAAATTTCTGGGGTTGAAAGGTGATTTCGTAGTTCAGGCAGTGTATATTTAACTAATGGACGACTAAAGTTACTGCGTAATTGAGAAATATGCCATGCATGTTTCTGATGTGTCTTACTAACTGAACTGCGCCCACAAATGCCAGCGAGGTTTAGATTTTTTTTAAATAATTTATACCAGGTTTGGAAGGCTGCGTAAGTAACCTGTCACACACAGTATTACTTTTCAAATTGCATTATCCGTTTTCAAAAACGTATAGCTGCTCCATGAGTCTTTTCATTCGGTCCCAGCTAGTACAGCTAAATCAGCTACGCTTTCTAGTGTAGCGTCACTTTCAACCGTTTTATTTTGTGGTAACAATGTTACCGCTTAACCCAAGATTTCGTCGAGGAGCCTAACTTGAACCCTTAGAAGCACTTCGTGTTCTTCGGTTTCATAAAAATAAACCTTCACCGAGCGATATGATATCGCTAACGGGCGGGAATTTAATATCAAGCTATAAAAAGTGCCAAGTTCCGCACGATAACTGTCGCCGACCCCGTGTGATTCCATTCCTTGTACCCCCCCCCCCCCCCCCCCCCCTCCGCCCCCACCAACGTGATCGGAAGATGTTGGCCACACCTTCTATAGGAGGCGAAGGAACGGCAGCGCTCGAAAGAACGCTCGAAGAAGCGGCAGTACTCAGCTTCAGGAAGAGCTGGTGAATCTAGGATTCCCGTCTCTCTTTTGTACTGTCTGCTTCTAAACTTTCAAATTGACAATGGGCTATATGTGTTATAATGATAATGCAATAAAATGCAAAGGTGCAAGCGAGCTGGACAAGAGTGACGAAAATAATCCCCGGAGAAAGGGGAGATATGACAGGTGCAAATCTCCAAACAAAGCTAGGTGAATGGTACGCGACCGAAAAAATCCGCCTGGTCCTAGTATCGAACCAGGGACCTCTCCATTTCCAGTGTTTTTTTTTTTTTTTTTTTTTTTTAATCAAAAGCATATCTAAAAGCATCTCCGGAATGAGAAACATTTTAAAAATTACCTGGAAACTATTGCATAGCTATGTTTGGAGATTACTCTTTGACTTTGTCATTTGTCACCTTTGTTCTTCCTCTTCAGGGGTTATGTGCCTTCCGTTAATGTCAACCTCCGGGGTTACATTCGGTTGCTACACAATTCTAGAGAGTTCAACCAACGATCTGTATTGTCTCCGCTGGGTGTAGGACATTCGCAGCTGTACAGTTCGACTGACGTGTTCGGCGATAAATGTTGCCGTACTTTCATACTGTTTAGTTGTTTTTCGGGTTGCTCCTCTGCCTTTGTCGCGATAGACCCGTACTGAGGCTAGAGTTAAAGCGAGGTTATTTAAACGGTGTTGTATGCACTACTCCTCAAAAATAACCTACAGGCTCTACTTGGCCTTAAAAGTAACTAAGTACGTTACTCGTTCTTTATCTAAAAGAGTTACTAAATAGGTTACTTTTTACCAAAAAAGTAACTAGGTAAAAGAAACTCGTTACTAGTTACGCGTTACGTACATGTCTGGTCTGCTCTTTGTCCTCGAGTCCTCTTTGAACTGTTTTTTTTTTTATTCCAACCCCAACGGTCAGCATATGGTGTTCAAGCTGAAATTCTGAAGCGTTTAAGGGCGAAATTAATAATAAAGCATCCGAAATTTTATGTTTTTCAGTTCTTTCGACATTACGTATCACGATCAGGATGGTGGGCTGGCTGGTGTACACCTTGGGTTACACGACACAATTCATCTACATTAACGAGGTATTTCCAACCGTAGCCAGGAGCGGAGCCTTTGGACTCTGCACTACATTCGGAAGACTCGGCGCCACGTTGGAACCCTGGATATACACAGCTGTGCGTATGGAGAAGCTCGCCTTGTTCATTCATTATTTGCATTAGAAAAACTGCATACATGCTTTGCATTCTTCACGACGCTTTCAGAAGTAGCGAGGTCGTTTGCTCATATGATTCAAACATTAAAAAAATTAACAAATAGAGGATAAAAAACGTTACAAAAGGGGGTGGGTGGTCATATGCTGGGATCAACACCAGTCCTAAAGTGATATGTTATAATTTTGCCTCAAATAACCTAAATTTCATATATAAAATAAAATATCTATAACGCATTATTTCATTTGTACTTGGATATTTAGATAGCTTAAATTATAGCTTCGTTAACCTCGAGGCGTTATTTGATGATCAGCTTGACTGTCTCCAGTAATGCTGACGGACAAATGATACTGGACCCTCATGCGATTATTAAAACACAGCGGTAAGAAAACGCAACAAAATATATAGCTCAGCTGAAAACATTAAAATAAAAACAGGTAGTGTTTTGTATTACCTGTATGTTAAAACGTAAAGCCTTAATTGCCTTGTCAGTTTTACGCTTTCTGTTTACGTTGCTTGCTTCTTACAAACACAAGCTAAAAAACAATTAAAAGTAATTTTTTAAACGAATTGTTTATTTGCTGTGCACATTTTCTATTGTCACACAGTTCTTTGAAAGTAATATTTCGGGCTGAAAAACACCTTTTTTTCAAAGCAAAGAGCGGGTAGCCACGCCCCCTTTTGGGTTACTCTACCTGCTTATCAAAAAATGTTCAACAAAACAAAATTAAAAAAAAAAACATATCTAAAAGCATGTCCGGAATGAGAAACATCTTAGAAATTATCTGGAAACTATTGCACAACTCATTTTTTAACCAAGACAATCTCGAGATGCTGTGGACGTTTTTTCCACATATGTACTTTAAAGCGCCTAGCTGTGTTTTTGAACAACAAAATGGCGACATTGGATGCTGTCCTTCCATTCAATGATGGTAGCATCGCACGAGCCAATATTATGAAGTCCTTTGGATTGAATCCTGGGTGGAACATTGTCAAGTGGCTGAGGGAAGTTGATGTCACTTTAATAAACTTTGCCGACCGAACTACACGGCAGGCCTCAAAAGAGGCCCGGCAAGCAAAAAGATAAAGTGAAAATTTAAGACATGACTCTAACCACGACTGCCAAGCTGGAGGCTATTGAGGAAATGACTTTGATGGAGTTGGTGCAAGAAGAAATGTGTTATTCACCTGTTGTGTACCTTAAACTCAATTATCTCAAAACAGTGCCTTTTCAGTGCATAGGTACCATTATTTTTTTAACATACCATTATAGAGGGTTGTTTTTTTTTTCTGCCACCCAGTAGGTGTTGAAACGTACTGAACTAGAAATAAAAATATGCACCTAACAGGTTTTGAGCTACAGATGTTTTAATACACAAATATATAACATTTCAGTAAAAAAAACATCATAAAAATTTAATCTTCTTTTTTAAATAATTTTAGTTTAGTAAAAACAAATTGGAGCACAATTATATATATATATATATATATATATATATATATATATATATATATATATATATATATGTCTTCCTGACAAAGGCCGGACTCCGGCCGAAACGTCGAAGATTAAATCGGCCGTTGTTGCTGTTTTCACTAAGGTTTTTTTTCTTCTCAGTTTTTTTTTCTTCTCAGTTTTATACCCACGCCTTCGGCCTCCCGCCACCATGCCCGTTATATATATATATATATATATATATATATATATATTACTCCTAATAATTACCGAGTAAAGTGTTCCTCAACATGGCCTAAAATTCATGGGGAGCATATGACTTAACCTGTGTTCTTAATGTAGACTTGCACTCGAAGCGCTCGCCAAATCAAGTATGTGACATTGCTGCTGTTATGACTTCCAACTGTTTCTTTTTTTTTTTTTCTTGCAAAATGGGCTTTTGTGTGTGGTCCTTTATACATTAGACTTCTCTTTATTTTTTGTGTGTGAATATTGCTCATGTCATTAATCGTGTTCCTGTCTAATTTTCAGACGCAGTCATGGGGAGACACGCTTGTCTTGATAATCTACAGCGTCATGATCTTGGCGATTGCCGCACTTGTCACTCTTCTCCCAGAAACTTTCGGAAGCGTTCTTACTGATACTTTGGAAGAAGGGGAACGATTCTCCGAGACCAAGTAAGAAAGTAACAGCTGCCATAATTGGGGAAACACGTACTTGGTTACAGATATTAAAAACAAGAAACGACAGACAAAAGATGGGCCAATAGAAATACGTCTCTAATTAGCATAGCCTAGCCTAACCTAACCTAACTTACCCTAAACCGACCTAACTTAACCTAACCTAACCCAACCTAACCTAACCTAACCTAGCCTGACCTAAACTAACAATACCTAAACTAAGCTGAATTAACCTAACCTAATCTAACCAGATCAGTCGACTTGTTTGCTTAGTTTGCCTTGGATCAGTTGCCTGGCTACTATTAGACCCCTTCTCTTCCTCGATCGCAGGCTCTCCAAGAAAAAAAGTGTTCAAGACCACGTGGAGCACTTGGAAGCTTACAAGAAAGTTGCCACCGAAGACGGCGAAGCGGAAATAAGGTTGTGAACTCAAGAACGTGACAGAAAGTTGGACAAGAGTCTCAGGGTTAAATGAACAACCACCACAGTAATACAGTTAAACTCGCGATGTTTAGAATCGCCCTTGTTTTGAACGAGCAAGTAGCAACCCATTATAGATATATTTGACAAAATAAAAAAAAATGTATGGGCTCACAAAGACAGTGTAATATTTATTTATATATCATCATAATAAAAACATAGACGGAAAACAACACACACTGAGATCACAAGCTCAAGCGGAGCTGAAGTTGACCAGCAATCGCCTGACTTAGAAACTTCGACAGCCCTTGATGGAGCAGGGCTTTGAAGCAGAATTTTGAAGTAACTCCACGTCTACAAGCGTGACTTTGAAATTCCTCCACGTCTACTGTATGACAATACGCAGTTCCTAACTACTGTGTACGTAAATGTGTGTAGTAGCGTAAGGACAAAACAAATTGTAATATTTGTAGCTCTAGGAATGGCCTTGTTGATGTTATTGAAATTAAGAGCTTGATACTTTTGTAATTTACCCGGCGAAACCGGGCACCAACTTGTTTTAGTTACAAATGAAATTGCCTTCTACAGATTTATGATGTCATATCTGCAGTTTAGCAACTGCTGTTGCAGGATTCTTAGTAAAGGATTTTCTAAGTACCGTAAAGGACTTAATTTTTGCAAGAACCTAATTTTCGCGAATTTCTCGAATCGCCTACAATTCGCGAAAAATAGGTCCCGCGAACAATTCCGGTAAAATGTAAAACATATTAAAATCTATTTTACGATCCCACCGCGCCGTGAAAATGAGAATTCGCGAACTATTCCAGAACTCCAACTTTGACCTAAATCGCGAAATATTGAGCCCGCGAAAAATAAATCTTTCACAAGATATAGTTTTTAAAGCGAATATTTTATAATGAACGCAGTCTTGTTTTGATTAATCGAACTTCTTATGGCCTAATATAAATCAGCAATAACACGTAGTGATGACCTTGAGATGGAACCAACGAGAATTTGCGTATTTCTGAACTGAACCGAGTCACAGATTCCTACCAACCACGTAACTTAGTCGCGGTTAAGGCACTGCTATATTTTTCTAAGCTTTGTACTGATTGTAATTCTGACTTAGTATAAAATCACATAAATAATCAACTTCAGAGTTACTCCTCTCCTAGATGTTTTTGATCTGAGGTATAATGAACGGCACGTCCGCATGAGTTTCACGTAGAGATTAACCTCACGAGACTGATTCTGTCAAGAACCTTCATCCAGGGAAAGCCACTAATCATGCTGTTCGTGCTCTCGCATAACATAAAGGGGAAAAAAAAACAGAAAGAAAACCTCTTCCTCTATCTCTGAAGAGAGCAGCTTACAACCGGTTTTGAGGGAAATTGTTAGTAGCTGAGCGTCGTTGTCAAGATGGGTGTGTTGCGATCGATCGCTGCTCTTCCATTTAGAAGCTCGTGTCGAAGCGGAGCTTTTCTATATTTCAGGAAAGCGATATTATCATTGCGCAGTTCTAAAATTAGCCACCGCTAATCTTGTATGGGACGGTCGTCCCGGCCAACTTTGTTACCGGAAGCCGGTGGACACCAGGCGTTTATGGCTTGTCCTTAATACGAAGTGTGTTAGTGAGTTGTCATTACAAGTACCGCCAACTGCCGGGAGATGTCTCTATTGTTAGATATCTCTAACGGTTTGTTTTATAAAATATCTGAGGAGAGAATTTAAGGCTGTTTTGTCTTCTACAAATTTTTGGTGTTCGGCGTAATACAATATAAAAGAGTTCACAAAATAGTTATTGAGTCCGCATTCATCTAGAGCTGAAGTTTCCGCCTCTAAAATATTTAGCCAGTTAGGTTAAACCATTTTAAAGTGTCTTGGAGGTATGGTGTTTGCGTGACAAAAAGTAAGCAAATAATATAAAACACTCCTATTAGGGAAGATACTTCTTAGAGATAGTGCGGTAGTTTAGCGGGGATATTACTGGTTCTCGAAGATCAAGTTGATCCTATTCCGCAGGCAAACGTTTTAGGCACAGACACTGAGTGCTTTCTATGAGATTGAAAAGAGCAGAGCGAACCCTTGCCACTATGTCAGGTACGCGTTTTCATGACATGTACATGATATATGTTAAACGATCCCGTCAAAGGGGTCCAGCCAGCCAGAATAACTTTCTTGTCGTCAATGCGACTAAATTATACGGCAAAAGAAAAATTTTTATTTTATTATTTTGTTCTGTTTTAGGGTTTGTTCATGAAAGTGAGTGGGCACGTGACCTCAATTTTGAGACATGTGTCGTGGTATCAAAACGAGACAGTCTATAAGGAAGTAGGCGAGACATCGCTTCTCTCGGATCACCCTTCCTCTTTGACGCCGTGCTTTTGTTTATGCGCGCTGTCTGCTTTTAGTCAGTCACGCGCCATCTCATACGCATTTTTACTTTTTCATATACCTCATAGGCCACCCTAGCGAGAAGGAATTTTCGGTTTCTCTTTTACGCTGTGCCAGACAGGGAGTTACGTAAGTGCGTTTAGAGAAAAAAAAAAACTTATTTCGCAACGGTCCTGGGTATTAGGAAATGAGCACATCTCAGCGTCATGGACAACAACATCGACGTCGGGAATGGAGGTCCTGCTTAAAATTGCTGTGGGCGTTCCGAGAACAAGGCGTTTTAAGTACCCTGCACGCAATTCCGACAGCGTTTTGCGCCGACAGTGTCGGAGGTTGTTTGTGAGCATGTTAGACCTTCGCGGCGATGCCGGCAGTCATCGCTCACGCTCAAGACTGTCAGCCCCTGCTCAGCATAGCAAGCCAGCCAAGGGTAGAGGAGTAGCGGCGAGATGTGTTCTGGATCGTTGCCCCATGTAATTTATTTTTACTACAAGGTCAGTTCAACGGGAAAATCACAAGTCACGTTTTAACAAACATCAAAATCATTAATAACGGGTGATATGAGTCGCTTTCAGTATGCTACAGACAAGCAGGTGACAAGAAGTTTTTTAACTTTAATATTCTAATTGACCTGCGACCTTGGTATCACACTCGTTCGTGAATTGATTGCTTGGTTTCTTGTTTCAAGGCTTATACTCGTATGCATCTGTTATAGAACGAAATATGGGTTCAAACTGTCGTGAAAAGCTTTCCTTGACAATGAAATTGAAGTGAACCTTTAAAAAAGCGGAGTATTGATCACAAAGTTTCTAAGTAAACGTTATTGGCCGCGTTTTGTTCGGATATTAGAAACTTTCTCGCATGCCAACATAAATAAAGTATATTAATCTCGCGAGGGTTGTCAAGATGAAAATAATATCAGTTTGACTACTTATAAATTTTATGACCGATGATTAGTTTTCGATAAAATTGACAGGCTGTATAAAAGTAAGCTCTTAGTATTTTTATATTTTTTATATTAAATTTATCCACGGATTACCCCACATTAACTGCAGCAAGGCATGCAGTTGGGCTAGTTTGAGGGAACAGCGCAAAAAAGGACGTAGGACGTCCTTTTTTGCGCTGTTCCCTCCAAACAGTACCCCACATTACCTGCGTGTTGTTGATTACCTTTACCGATACCCAGAGATTGCTCGCCTTACGGGTATAATTAGTAAAAACGCTTTTTGTTATTCTCTGATTTGCCTCAAAATCGGTTCCAACAGATTCATAGACAGATATAATCTAGTACCCAAACTGCAAGTCGCAATAATTTATTTTTGCAAAATTATTCACGTTTCCGATCTTGGTTTCAATTACTGAGAGGTCTTACTGGCAACACAAAAAAAAAGAGGCGTCACATTTTTGATATGAGGCAATACGGGGCATTGCAGCTTGTTCCCAACGAGATATAAGAAGTTGATAGTGGTGATAAAAATTCTGGTTAAGCTCCCGCCAGCAAAACCGAAAAAAAACATGCTCGAAATTCCGTGTTTCTCAGACTGTCTGCTCGACTTAAAAGCTATATAGCATGTCATCACCTCACTAGAAAGCGCGGTAAAATATGAATTTTGATCCTGCCATCACATTCATTTGCATGTTTTCTCTCTAGCTATTTTGAATTTAGCTATAATAATTATCATGCTGAAGAGTGTATGACCTGGGCATTCTAAAAGTGTGTTAGATTTTGGTAGCTAAAAAATCCAACAAACAAACATTCGAATGTTGGTTTTGGCATTGCCTTTCAAAAAGTATTGTCCCGCGGCATGGCGTTTCCTGGTATTCTCAGAAAAGGCAACGAAATTTGTTTCTTCAGGATTAATGTTTTTTCGTGAGACAGGTTTCATTTATGTCACGTCCAGCCCGAGGTATCCGCGCGCTAACGGGAAAATAGAGATGATGTTTAAGACTTTAAAAAGGCTTGCTTATAAGAAGTTCAGTGACTCTACTTTGCTGGGTTGCAGGAATATCCCGGGGATCCCCGGGAATAATTCCGGCTGGAGTGTTGATGACCCGTCCATTCCGAACCACAGTACCTCTGCACACTAGAAAGTTAAAACCTCAAGTTGCAGATCAAAAGTTCGTTTGCCAAAATCACCGTGCTGCCAGAAGAAAAAAAATGCATGGCAAAGTGCCCTGCAATTGTGTTGCTACGTGGAACGTTCTTGGTTTAGCACTATACTCTGTTTCATACTTAGTGTGCAACGCTGTCAAAGCTACTGGCGCGAGCGTGGGGCTTGATCTCGTTGATCATTTGCACGCGTTCTATAGCGCAAACAAAACCATAGATGAAGCCACGCGCTCGCGCCAGTAGCTTTGACAGAGTTGCACGCTAAGCATGAAACAGAGTATAGTAACCTCCAGGTATTTCTTCTCGAGCTCTGCCTCTAGGTCACTCCACTCCTCTCCACCCCATGGACTCACGGACTTTCCCCGTCGGGTCGGCTTGTATCCATATAGAGTATGGGGATGACGGGCTGCGGCCGGTCACGTGTCAATGTTTCCGCTACATTTAGCGGGAAAACTTAATTTATGGGTAGGTCACGTTACATTGAGCCATGTGACGCCATTTTCTCCGTTAAAATTAGCGGGAAAATTCGCAGCTGGTCTCGTGTCAATTTTCCCGCTAAATATATCGTGGAAACTGAATCTGTGTAGGTCACGCGAAATGAAGCCGTGATACGTAGTCTTCCCCGTTAAATTCAACAGTGAGAATCACGGTTACGCTTTTTTGTAGCTTCACTG